AGAGAACTATAGCATTTTGCCATGGTGTATCACCTTCCATGCAGAAAGCTTAGAGCATTTTATACAATTAATGGATGACAACTCTGCCTCACGGCAGCTGCAGGAAGAATTAAATGTAGTTTTCCAGAATTTACGAAAAGGGATCAAAATAGTTAGTAACTTGCCCAAGGAGAGCCATAAGCCAAACGAAGCTGAACTGCCTGAACTGAGGATCAGAGAATCACAGAATGGTAGGGGTTGGAAGGGACCTCTGTGGGTCATCTAGTCCAACCCTCCTGCCGAAGCAGGGTCACTTAGAGCAGGCTGCACAGGACCTTGTCCAGGCGGGTCTTGAATATCTCCAGACAGACAGACTCCACAGCCTCCCCGGGTTTTATTCTCCCGAGTTTAATTCTGAGACCTCTTCCTCTACTCCAGCACATGGAGTACTGTGAATAAAAAATATGGATTGTTTAGCGCCTTTCTCATTTAAGCAGAAAGAAATTATGGACAAATTGTGGCTGTAGCTAGTTCCCTGGATTTTGTCAGATTCAGACAGATCCCAAATGTTGTTTTAATGTAACCTTAAAAGAAACCCCTTGCTATTAATTTTGTATTTATTGCAGTTACACTGACCCTAATGAATTTTTTTAAAATGAATTTGACAGATGTCACAAATATTTTCAATGCAGTTTAACATCATTAAATATAACCTTTCCTAGAAAAAAACTTCTGTGAAGTGAACATAGGATAAGTGTAAATTCTGGATTCTAGAAAGTCAAGGGTGTTGCATATTACTTACTACACAATAGGGAATAATGTTTATGGAGCAACATTACAAGGTTCTACTTCCCACATCTCGTCGGTACATCTCACCTAGAAGGACAAGCTCCTTTAGGAAGGAATCTGTTTATTAATTTAACACTTATGTGTTATATATAGTTGGCTATGCCTTCAGAACCAAATTCAGTGACCTTACACACTTTTTTCCCAGATTCATTTTTTATTACTTTGCTCTTATGTGATAACCAAGAGGGCTAAACAAAGCCTCTGAAAAGGAAAGGTTATTCCACTTCCTTGGAGACACAATCTTGTTTTATGTTAAGTTTGCACAGTTTTTTGCACCTGATGGTCCTAGTTCTGCTTGGAAGAAGGGCAAAGAATAAATCATAGTTCTTTACATTGTATGTGAACTTGTGAAGCAGTGCAAGTACATAGTTACAATCCAGGCCATCAGAAACAGAAAATGAATGATTTGAGGACTGGATTCTACTGGATTCCAATACTTCATAAACTCTAGAGCACTGGTAGGGTCCCCAACTGGAATACAAATAAAGCAAACCCTGTCAAAGGTTTATAGGACTATACTTGGTCTTCTCTTACTGCCTTAATTTATGATTGTTGCAAATTCACAAGCTGTGAAATGTGTTGGTCACAGAGCTGATGGCAATAACTTCAGAATATGAATGAGAGCATCTGGGTTGCTATTTACCTTTGTTTCACAAAGTCAGCTTTTTATCTTTGCATCATTTAACCTCAGAAATGTGGCTGGGTTAGACAGGCATATGGAGGCTTCAATGGAACAGAACATTGGCTTTCTGTAACTTTGTTAGTTTCTTCTGTGAAAAATTATACCATTTGCTTTCCTGCCACTGTGCTGTTCCTCTACAAGAATACAAATCAAATCAATATAAATTATAATAAGGAGCAGCTTCCCTTTGTGAAAGAAATAAGGGTGCTGGGACTCAGAAATTCTTTATTTTATGTTCACACTGTAGTGACTTGGGTAAAATGAAGGCCCGGGCAGCCTGCATAGCACTCAAAACTTTTTTAAACCCTGTTTTGCAGACTTTCGTTAGTGCATATAAATTTCGCTTTCTTTAATTACAGATTAATTTCTCTGTGCCTAACTTTGATGCCTTTGAGTTTTAGTTTCCATATCTGTGAAATGGTAGAGACATGATAAAGCGTTCTCAAATATTTTTCAACTGCCATCAGTTGTTCTTGGGCTGAAACTATGGTATTGAGTCTTGCTATTGTTCACCAAAAATGGGAATCAATTGTAGTCTGCATTTGTTTGAGAAGCCTCTTGAGACTTTTCTGAATTGATGTATTCGTAGAAACGAAACTTAGAGACTATTGTGACCATATCTCATTTTCTGTTTTCACTTGACTTGTGTCAGCTCTGCTGAGTTTATAGTAAATATTATTTGCAATGGATCCCCTTGCTTGGCTTCTAGTGTATTTATGGAGACAATTTCAGCTGCTTGAGTACTACTTTTACTGCCCAATGCCTCCAGGCCTCTTGGTACAACATATATATATTTAGCACCATATTAAGGACTGGCCAGCTCTAAGGGGATTGACTGAGGCAAAAAAAGATAGAAAGAAGATTTTCTTGAAAGAGACAAGGAGTTTTGTATCCAGTGAGAAATCAAGCTGTTTCCTCCCGCTTCCAGGAGGGTCCTGTCTCTTAGGGCCGGCACTGGCAATTCAAACAGCTTCCTTCCTCTTTTCTGACCAGCAAGAGGTTTGCAGCCAGGGGACTAGTTATGAGCCAGGGACTGAAAGCCTTAGATCAAAAGGAGGTAAGTAGGGAGCTCAGTTCACCTTTGGTCTTTTAAACTAGGTTTAGGTTCAGGCTATTTGTGAAGCTGAAGAGAGGTCTCAGACTAGCTCACTCACAGGACATGGTTGGTGCAAATGCTGTAAACAAATTGGCAGTTCTTGATGGGGTAGTTGAGAGAGCAGAAAACAATATTTGTCCTTTAGTGTTTGAAAGGCTAAAGATAAGGCCAAATATTGTCTACTGCTTTGAAAAACGGCCGCTGAGCAGGAGCACAGCGGTAACCCACCACTGTATTGTGCTGCAACTTGGCATACTGCTGGGGCTGTTCAGGTACTGTCCATGGGGTGGCTCTTTGCAGGTGACCAGTCCAAATCACTGCTTTGCAAGTAAAATTTCCAGAAATGCAGAGGAAGGAGGAGGCTGGAGCAGCCTGGAGCTTCTCATTCTCTCACTATAAGCACTTGAGTTTTTTAGTTGTTCTGTGTTGATTTCAGAGCAGACAAAAAGTGTTGATTCATCATTACTTGTTTATGTGTCTCTAATGTTTTTCAAAGAGCTTTTTACAGAGGTGTCAGCTTGACGTTGCTAATTTATCACACATAGGATTCGATTAAAATGTCGAGGATTTCAGTTAGAAAACTAGTCTTCCTCTCATGCAGACCTTCTCTCTGTCTGGTCGTCGTTTGTTTATTTTGCACTGTTCTTTTGAGTTTTCAGGTCAAGCCACAGGCTGGGGCTACCTTTCTGGAGTTTAGATGTTGAGGAGCTCTTTGATAAATGATGTGAGAGGAACTCAGCAAATATTGTCAAGTATCCTGAATGGCAGATGGTTTTGAAAAAAATTAATTCAACATTAAAGATCATAGGTAGTGTTGAGTCCAGAGTTTGTTCTCCCCAAGCAGAGTGTATATAGCGTGTGATAGACAGGTTCCTTGATGTCATTGTTTTATCATGCTTGGTGTGACGTGGAGATAGTTGAAATACCTCTGTAACATGCTACCAATAAGGGTGTGTGTAGTGTATATATCTCTGTATTTATTTGTGTCTTAACCTTTTTGAAAATATCAGTTGACAGTTTTCTGTATGGTTTTATTTCACAGACTGTAAATGGTTATAGTTCTAGCTTCTTTTCTTGGCTGAGAAAATTTTTTTCTGTTATTCTTAGCTGTCAGAAGACATCATGCTCAGGTGGCCTATAATAAATATCTATTATTTATAAATATCATTCCCACTGCTGAATTCCTCTTCTTTTAGGTGTTAAGAGTCTCAGTTGATTCTAGGCAGGCTTCAGTTTGTATTCATGATCAGACCATACCTTTTCCAACCAGGGTACATTTCTTTTTTTCTGTTTCTTTTTCTAAGAACTTTAAAAAGGAGTATTTTAGTGAGCTGGTGGGTGGGTGATTCTAACTTAGTGTTTCATTAGTGTGTTATGTTTTTATTTCCTCTGCTGATTGCTAGAACTAGAGTTGCAGAGAAGTTCATCCAAGATTCTCTGTCTTTTACTGGACGATGAAGCTCTTAATAAACTTAGGTAATGTATTTCTAATTTGGATCCATGTTCATTTATTTCACCATTGAAAGAAAGAATTCACAAGAGAGGCTCAGGTTCATGTCAGTGTTTTCTTCTAAGGATTCCTCAGCCAAGGAGTCCCTGACCACCACATATGGCTTGAGAGTCCTTCCAAACGTAGTGACCTCAGGTAATTCAAAAAAATTCCATCCTGGAGCCTGGAATCCCATTGGGCCTCCACTGGTCCTCCATGATACCATGCTGAGCCCCACCTTTTCCCTAGTGCAATCTCTATAAAAACAAATGTGATCTAAGCAAAGATTAAATTAATCTTCATCCCATTGCCAACTTCATTCCACTTAATTTGGCTGTGTCTGCTCGCAACAGAGGAGAAGGTTGGCTAATAGTCTTGCAGATACTGTATTCTGGAAACTTTCTATTTCCTTTTTTTTCTGATTGTATGATACCAAATAGGCAAGCAAAGGTGATTGATTCTACACAACGGTAATGCAAGCCTTTCCGCCAAACCTATTTAAAAAAATCCTTGTGTTACTAGTCATGTAGTCAGTTTCCATTTTAAGAAGATGCAGTATTTTTGAATTAAATTAATGATGACCTTAATTTAGCAGTGTTAAATCTGCGATCAGAACTTTAAAGTTTTAAATTCTTTCCCAGTCAAATCCAAAATGCAGCTGTGGGTTTCTCACAGTGTGAACTGAACAAACAGAAAGGTCCTAGTGAAAACAATAACCATGGCGTGATGCAGTATATCTTTCTGTTTTGCATAGTAGTTTTTGTAAATACCTCAGGATTTTGTCTACAGTTTATAAATAACTTTTGTACAACAACAGCTGCAGCAGAGCGGCTCAGATTATGCAACTGCTTTAAAAGAGCCTGGACTAAACTAGCCCAGCTGTAATCAGGTTGAAAATTTGTTACCTGGGAGCTGAGAAATGAGCCTAGAAGAGGCAGGAAATTGCTTCACAGGGATAACTGAGATCCAAATAGTCAGGGAGAGAGTTGCAGTGGGCGGGAGCTCTGCCTGAGAGAGGACTGTGGTATCGAACGTTACTTTGGCAGTGATGTGAGCTGAGCTCGGCAGCAGCGGGGTCTGCAGCTCATCGGTTCGACATCCAGTAGGTGTCATTGCAGCCAACTGGGATGATCAGGCAGAAGAGGCAAGAGTGATTTGTCAGAGTGCAGGGTGGGAGAGAGGGAAACCCAAGTCAAAGTACAGGATTTCAAAGCTGTAAATCCACGAGCACTTTCGAAAAAGAATGCCTCTACTTATATTTAGATTTCTCCAAATAGGAAAACTGTGATTTCCCATCATTAGCCTCATGCATTTGGAGACATCTGTGTTTCATTTACTGCAGACTAAAAAAAGAAGTAAAAGAGAAGTAAAATTTTCAATCCCTCCCTGTGAATTTGGATAGATTAAGCAGGAGCATGCTTTATGTGTAAAGAAAGATACAGTCTACATAGGTTAGAGCTTTGGTGAAATACTATCAAAAAGGTTATTTTAATCTGTAGTGGTTGATCTACAAATGGCAAATATTGTCCTGGAGGAAGCAGTTTATCATGGGCCATAAAGCTAGATTGGTAGTGCTACATTCAGAGTTGTGGTTTGATCTTAAAGAGACTTTTGCTTATGATTTGACTTAATACAGAAATCAGTATGACTACTCACAGATGTAAGAATAATTCACATTAAGTTAGAAACTGCGAGTGTAAGCCATGTCTTCGTATGTGGTGTTGGTGACAGTGACATAAAACAATGTTTAAAGAAAAGTATTTGAGACTTCAGGTTGCAGTTATATGTTATGCAAAATTATTTTTTGATTGCGATGTTTTTTTCTTTTGTGAAAACTCATGAGTTCACAAGATGATGTCTGGTGTTTCTGAATTAATCACAGTAGCATTTATTACATTATGTGTACAGATTTGGCCTATTTCTTTGGAGAGTTCCTCAAACAACTTGAGAAGTTGTCTTTTAACTGAAAATCAGGAAGCAATTCATACATATGACTTCAACATCTTTTAAAATCCACGTTATTCTTGGATAGACAAGCTTTATCCATCCAGGAACTACTTGGGTTAGCTTCAAAGGATCAACTTCTGTAAGTGTTATTCAAAAGATTGTATGATTAAGGCTCGTAGTAAATGTTTGGGAATGCAGTGTATCACACAAACACACACCCACCCCGTGTATTTGGGCTAAGAATAAAGGGTGTAGATTCTCTTAAAGCACATTTTGAAGTGTTTTCCTCAACACTTGCACAGCTCCAGACTAGAAACTGTTTAGACGGCCTTTCAGAATTTATTTACAAACAGTAGAGAGTACAGCAGAAGAAGCCATACATGATCACTGCAGATGAGTTATTCATGTTAATATTTACTAAACAATGCTACCTAAAACAGAGAGATTATGAGCTTAATTTAGAAAGAGATTTGGCCTGTAGCACACCATGTCCAGTACCCCCAGCAGAGGCACAGAAACATGGCATGGCAGATAACAGCTCCCTTTAGTCTCTCTAGGAAGTACTAGGACTACACAAGCAATTAGTGCTGTTTCTGTGGAGACAAAAGATGCACCATGAAAGAAAATTCCTGAAATAAAACCAACAAAAGTAACTTAAAATATAGTTGGGGAATGTTGTGCTAGTTCCACAGAGCCATAAGTAAACACAACTTTAAAAACAAGTGGAGCTGTTTATCGGTGAATGTATATACAAAATTGGCATAAATGCAATCAGCCTTTGCTGTGATGATACAAAATCCTTTCTCTGCAACACTGCACCCTTCAAGTGAGTTCAGAACATGGTCAGACTGACTTGAAAATACATCTTTTTAGTGAAGTGCCCTGTTACATTTTCTTGTAATTGGCACTTCCTCCGGTTGCTTTCAATCTATTAATTGCAAATGGATACTTTCTGTCAAAACAACTTTTACTTTAGAGGACACTAACGAAGCGAGAACCCATATAGTTTCCACAAGAGGTGTAGTTATGATCTTCTGTGAGTCCCAGGAGACCAGAATATTCGTCCTACCGTAATGATAGTTCTGTACATAGGGTGAAAAGAAAAAGCAGCTGCAGAGGTCACTTGTACCTATTAACCATAGAGTGACATTTTTGTAACTGATCGGTTTTCTTCAGACCAGGAGGTAGTAGTGCAGTTTTTGCTGAAGGTGCTTGGTGATACACAAAACCTGCAGTGCCACCAAGGAGATGACAGAGCCACTCCCCAGAGTTTTTGAGACTCCCAAGAAGCAGCTACTAACCTCGGTATACTGGTGGGCTTACATCTTCTGGGCTGCAAGGTAGAGCCATTGGTGCCTGCCACAGTGGGCAAAAATGTTGCTGTAGTTTAAATTGCTTCTCTGTGTCCATGTTTGCTTTGCAAACCTCCTGTGCTCCTGTCCCCCTCTTCACATAACCTTCCAAGGACAGCTGTAAGAAAATACACGATAGGTGATTCTCTTGGTGAGAAATGGACAGTGTTGTCGGAGAGCTGTATGTAACCTATTTCTGAATACTTCCTGTGCTTGATTTATCCCTGTGCTGGGGTTTGTGCTGGCAGGGCACCTGTGACATGTCAGGGGATCACACCTCTGCCCTGCATTTTGAAAGCCTAAAATCAGTTAGCATCCCTCTTGTACAAGTGTGAACTGGTTGATATTAGCATAGGCAGTGCCATCAGGATGCACATACTTATACTGTTTCCGATTGCGTACAAACAGTTATGCTAAGCTTGAAGGGTAAAACCGTTTAACAGTCAGAATAAGCAGGTAAGCGTAAAACAAGTAAAACAGCAAACAAACGTAATATCAGAGGAAGTATGAACTTGCATATGAAAGAATTATACACTTATATGAATGATTTATCACTCACAGATTACTTTGACTTGGAGCCAAGTGAAAATACTGTAAACTCTTTTCCAATATATTCCTGTCTGAATTTTTCTGTTTAGTTTTGTTTCAAAGTCCCTTTCCTGAATAGTGTATTTGATGTGGTTAGTTTATTAATGTTTTAGCATGGTGGCTAAAATAAATTCTGATCACTTCCTGTGGTATGAAGAGAGAATCGTACACATTTCTTAAAAATCAACCTTTTGCCTATAGCTTTTATATCATTTCTATGTAGTGGACAGTGTGATTCAAAACCACCTCTTCACTGAAAGAACACTTTGGTTTATTATTGGCTGGACTGGAAACCTTTCATGTGGCACTTACAAAGGTCATCTTTCTCTCTGTATTCATCAATAGTGTGTGTCTTAAAACTGCAATACTGCTCTCATAACTTTAATCCTGCCTTTTATCTTTGATAACTCTTTTAAGATCGAGAGAAAGATGCTGTAGAACCTCTTGTACACAGCAAAGATTATTTGCAAGATTAAGCTAAGCCGGCACACCTTAGCTTAAAAAGTTTTGTATTCTCCTCTAGAAATGTTGAGGAGGTCATAAAGGAGTTGTTTTAACATACGTTTATTGAATAATGGGTATAAGGAGATAGAATTACAGCCAATGAGTAACAGTTTGCATAAACATACTGTTTTTTTTAATGTTTCAAAAAATATTTTAGACCTTTAGGCAATGAGGATGCGTGCTCTGAATTTCAGAGATTTTTAAGTAGCAAGTTGGAGTAAGAAGTTGTTAAAATACACAACTTTGAAAACAAGTCAGAAATCCCTTCTACATCCATTTTTTTTCTTTTCTCTCCCTGTATGCTACCAATGTGAAATAGTATTTGGTGGCAAACAAGTAATCCAAATTCTGATCTAATCCAGAAGGAAAATTTGACAGAGATCACTGATAGAAATGAGAGCTCTGCTGGTATGGCTCAGTACTTCCGAAAAGCTGTACAATGCAGATACAAAGAAATCAGCATAAAGGCCATCTTTCTATAATTCCCAAATTTCTGGGAATGTGGGGGACTGTAATTGCTTTGAAGTTGTGTCAGCCTCAATTTAGGAAGATGGCCAGTCCTGGCTAACCGGCTTTAGATCAACCTGCTTCAGCAGGGAGGGTGGACCAGAGAACCACCAGAGGTCCCTTCCAACCTCAACCATTCTGTGATTCTGTGAAGACCAGAATATTACTGGGATGTGAGCTGAAATGTTCTGTATACAAAAACAGCCACTCAGTAAACATCTCCTCAGATTAATTCGGTGATTTTTTACTATTGTTGTATTCACCTGCCCAATAAACCTGTACTATCGTTTTGTAGTTGATCATGTAGTGAAAACTTACCCAAAGCATTAGTTCAATTACCCAAGGCCATTAATTCAGCTTTCCAAAATAAAGAGATGGGTTGGTTTGTTTTTAAAAATCCATTTATAAATGGCTGTAAAGCATAAAAAAGTCATTGGCCCAGGGTGTTCTGTGGATGTCACAGAATGCTGTGTCTTTGCCTCTCGAGTGCTGAGCTGTAGACCAAACACTTGTGTGCTAAGCACTATGAGTTTTTAGCAAATACTGATCAAAAAACAAAAGGGGAAAACAGCAGGGAAAAAACCTTATGTATTTATTTTCAGGAAATTGTCTGATCTTGGCCGTGCTAATTAGTAGTTCCAGAAGAAAAACATTTCATTCTTTGATTCTAGTCCTTCACTTTGTTATTTTCACACATCGGTCTTTGTTCGTTCCTTGGTATATACCTACAGTATAGCTATTTTTCTGTAGTACTTTTAAATCCAAATTGTCTAATAGGATACACATTATGCAGATACAAGAATTAACTTCCCATATTCTCATGAAAAGCCTTGCACGATTTTTGGCATGGGAATTCCAACTTAGACTGGATGGGTCTTCTAAGACAGGGATTTATTATGATTTTGGAGTGTGAAATTTGACAAGCACAGCATGATTTAGTTAACTGTTTTTAAATAGATTCAAATTTTTGAATTACAAATGCTTCAGTTCCTGAGTTCCTGATACCACTGCTGATACCAGGTGAAATTAGTTAAGCCCGGAAAAAGGCCTTTGAATTCAGAGATTGACTGAGAGTCCAGAATTTAGCCTTTTGACAGGGGAAGGGAACATTTAAAGCATGCCTACACTGGGATGGCAACATGAGCAGTATAATGAGCACAGCCTCTACAGCAGCATCTGCATAAGCTGTAAATCTGGTGGTGGAAGACTCAGCAA